CACCTAGCACCTAGCACTTAGCACCTAGCACTCAGCACCCAGCACCTAGCACCCAGCACCTAGCACCTAGCACCTAGCACCCAGCACCTAGCACCCAGCACCCAGCACCTAGCACCCAGCACCTAGCGCCTAGCGCCTAGCACCTAGCACCCAGCACCTAGCACCTAGCACTTAGCACCTAGCACCTAGCACCCAGCACCCAGCACCTAGCACCCAGCACCCAGCACCTAGCACCTAGCACCCAGCACCTAGCACCTAGCGCCTAGCACCCAGCACCTAGCACCCAGCACCCAGCACCTAGCACCTAGCACCCAGCGTGTAACACCTAGCACCCAGCACCTAGCACCCAGCACCTAGCACCTAGCACCCAGCACCTAGCACCTAGCGCCTAGCGCCTAGCACCCAGCACCTAGCACCCAGCACCTAGCACCTAGCACTTAGCACCTAGCACCCAGCACCCAGCACCTAGCACCCAGCACCTAGCACCTAGCACCCAGCACCTAGCACCCAGCACCCAGCACCTAGCACCTAGCACCCAGCACCTAGCACCTAGCACCTAGCACTTAGCACCTAGCACCTAGCACCCAGCACCTAGCACCCAGCACCTAGCACCTAGCACCCAGCACCTAGCACCTAGCACCCAGCACCTAGCACCCAGCACCTAGCACTTAGCACCTAGCACCCAGCACCCAGCACCCAGCACCTAGCACCCAGCACCTAGCGCCTAGCGCCTAGCACCCAGCACCTAGCACCCAGCACCTAGCACCTAGCACCTAGCACTTAGCACCTAGCACCCAGCACCCAGCACCCAGCACCCAGCACCTAGCACCTAGCACCCAGCACCTAGCGCCTAGCGCCTAGCGCCTAACACCCAGCACCTAGCACCCAGCACCTAGCACCTAGCACCTAGCGCCTAACACCCAGCACCTAGCACCTAGCACCCAGCACCCAGCACCCAGCACCTAGCACCCAGCACCTAGCACCTAGCACTTAGCACCTAGCACCCAGCACCCAGCACCTAGCACCCAGCACCTAGCACCTAGCACCCAGCACCTAGCACCCAGCACCCAGCACCTAGCACCCAGCACCTAGCACCCAGCACCTAGCGCCTAGCGCCTAGCACCCAGCACCTAGCACTCAGCACCTAGCACCTAGCACCCAGCGTGTAGCACCTAGCACCCAGCACCTAGCACCTAGCACCCAGCACCTAGCACCTAGCGCCTAGCGCCTAGCACCCAGCACCTAGCACCCAGCACCTAGCACCTAGCACCTAGCACTTAGCACCTAGCACCCAGCACCCAGCACCTAGCACCCAGCACCTAGCACCTAGCACCCAGCACCTAGCACCTAGCGCCTAGCGCCTAGCGCCCAGCACCTAGCACCTAGCACCCAGCACCTAGCACCTAGCGCCTAGCACCTAGCACTTAGCACCTAGCACTTAGCACTTAGCACCTAGCACCCAGCACCCAGCACCCAGCACCTAGCACCTAGCACTTAGCACCTAGCACCCAGCACCCAGCACCCAGCACCTAGCACCCAGCACCTAGCACCTAGCACCCAGCACCTAGCACCTAGCGCCTAGCACCCAGCACCTAGCACCCAGCACCCAGCACCTAGCGCCTAGCACCCAGCACCTAGCACCCAGCACCCTGCACCTAGCACCTAGCACCCAGCACCTAGCACCTAGCACCCAGCACCTAGCACCCAGCACCCAGCACCCAGCACCTAGCACCCAGCACCTAGCACCTAGCACCCAGCACCCAGCACCTAGCACCCAGCACCTAGCACCCAGCACCTAGCACCTAGCACCCAGCACCTAGCACCCAGCACCTAGCACCTAGCGCCTAGCACCTAGCACCTAGCACCCAGCACCTAGCACCTAGCGCCCAGCGCCTAGCGCCTAGCGCCTAGCACCCAGCACCCAGCACCTAGCACCCAGCACCTAGCACCCAGCACCTAGCACCCAGCACCTAGCACCCAGCACCTAGCACCCAGCGCCTAGCACCCAGCACCTAGCACCCAGCACCTAGCACCCAGCACCTAGCACCTAGCACCCAGCACCTAGCACCCAGCACCTAGCACCTAGCGCCCAGCACCTAGCACCCAGCACCTAGCACCCAGCACCCAGCACCTAGCACCTAGCGCCCAGCACCTAGCGCCTAGCGCCTAGCACCCAGCACCTAGCACCCAGCACCCAGCACCTAGCACCTAGCGCCCAGCACCTAGCACCCAGCACCTAGCACCTAGCGCCCAGCACCTAGCGCCTAGCGCCTAGCACCCAGCACCTAGCACCCAGCACCTAGCACCTAGCACCCAGCGCCTAGCACCTAGCACCCAGCGCCCTGCACCTAGCACCCAGCACCTAGCACTTAGCACCTAGCACTTAGCACTTAGCACCCAGCACCTAGCACCTAGCACCTAGCACCCAGCACCTAGCACCTAGCACCCAGCGCCTAGCACCTAGCACCCAGCGCCCTGCACCTAGCACCCAGCACCTAGCACTTAGCACCTAGCACTTAGCACTTAGCACCCAGCACCTAGCACCCAGCACCTAGCACCTAGCGCCTAGCACCTAGCACCCAGCGCCCTGCACCTAGCACCCAGCACCCAGCACCTAGCACCCAGCACCCTGCACCTAGCACCTAGCACCCAGCACCCTGCACCTAGCACCTAGCACCCAGCACCCAGCACCTAGCACCTAGCACCCTGCACCTAGCACCTAGCACCCAGCACCCTGCACCTAGCACCTAGCACCCAGCACCTAGCACCTAGCACCCAGCACCTAGCACCCAGCACCCTGCACCTAGCACCTAGCACCCAGCACCCTGCACCTAGCACCTAGCACCCAGCACCCAGCACCTAGCACCTAGCACCTAGCACCCTGCACCTAGCACCTAGCACCCAGCACCCTGCACCTAGCACCTAGCACCCAGCACCTAGCACCTAGCACCCAGCACCTAGCACCCAGCACCTAGCACCCAGCACCTAGCACCTAGCACCCAGCACCTAGCACCCAGCACCCAGCACCTAGCACCTAGCACCCAGCACCTAGCACCCAGCACCTAGCACCTAGCACCCAGCACCTAGCACCCAGCACCTAGCACCCAGCACCTAGCACCCAGCACCTAGCACCTAGCACCCAGCACCTAGCACCCAGCACCTAGCACCCAGCACCTAGCACCCAGCACCCAGCACCCAGCACCTAGCACCCAGCACCTAGCACCTAGCGCCTAGCACCTAGCACCCAGCACCTAGCACCTAGCGCCCAGCGCCTAGCGCCTAGCGCCTAGCACCCAGCACCCAGCACCTAGCACCCAGCACCTAGCACCCAGCACCTAGCACCCAGCACCTAGCACCCAGCGCCTAGCGCCTAGCGCCTAGCACCCAGCACCTAGCACCCAGCACCTAGCACCCAGCACCCAGCGCCTAGCGCCTAGCACCCAGCACCTAGCACCCAGCACCTAGCACCTAGCACCCAGCGCCTAGCACCTAGCACCGAGCGCCCTGCACCTAGCACCCAGCACCTAGCACTTAGCACCTAGCACTTAGCACCCAGCACCTAGCACCCAGCACCTAGCACCTAGCGCCTAGCACCTAGCACCCAGCGCCCTGCACCTAGCACCCAGCGCCCAGCGCCTAGCACCTAGCACCCAGCGCGTAGCGTGTTGCGTGTAGCACCTAGTGTAGCACGTAGCACCTAGCGTGTAACATGTAGCATGTAACGTGTAGCGTGTAGCATGTACCCCCGCAGTGCTGTTTGCCGAGATGACTGCTAACCACGTACCCCTCTGGTCCCCCCTGGTACCCCCTGGTACCCCTCTGGTCCCCCCTGGTACCCCCTGGTACCCCTCTGGTCCCCCCTGGTACCCCCTGGTACCCCCTGGTCCCCCCTGGTACCCCCCTGGTCCCCCCCTGGCACCCCCTGGTACCCCCCTGGTACCCCCTGGTACTCCCCTGGTACCCCCTGGTCCCCCCTGGTACCCCCCTGGTCCCCCCCTGGCACCCCCTGGTACCCCCCTGGTACCCCCTGGTACCCCCCTGGTACCCCCCTGGTACCCCCTGGTACCCCCCTGGTACCCCCTGGTACCCCCCTGGTACCCCCCTGGTACCCCCTGGTACCCCCCTGGTACCCCCCTGGTACCCCCCTGGTACCCCCTGGTACCCCTGGTACCCCCCTGGTACCCCCCTGATCCTCCCCTGGTACCCCCCTGGTCCCCCCTGGTACCCCTGGTCCCCCTGATCCCCCTGGTACCCCCTGGTCCCCCCCTGGTACCCCCCTGGTACCCCCCTGGTACCCCCCTGGTACCCCCCTGGTACCCCCTGGTCCCCCCTGGTACCCCCCCTGGTCCCCCCCTGGCACCCCCTGGTACCCCCCTGGTACCCCCTGGTACCCCCCTGGTACCCCCCTGGTACCCCCCTGGTACCCCCCTGGTACCCCCCTGGTACCCCCCTGGTCCCCCTGGTACCCCCTGACCCCCCTGGTCCCCCCCTGGTCCCCCCCTGGTACCCCCCTGGTCCTCCTGGTACCCCCCCTGGTACCCCCTGGTACCCCCCTGGTACCCCCCTGGTCCCCCTGGTACCCCTCTGGTACCCCCCTGGTTACCCCCCTGATCCCCCTGGTCCCCCTGGTACCCCTCTGGTACCCCCCTGGTTACCCCCCTGATCCCCCTGGTCCCCCTGGTACCCCCTGATCCCCCTGGTCCCCCATGGCCCCCCCTGGTACCCCCCTGGTCCCCCTGACCCCCCTGATCCCCCTGATCCCCCCTGGTACCCCCCTGGTACCCCCCTGGTACCCCCTTGTACCCCCTGATCCCCCTGGTCCCCCATGGCCCCCCCTGGTACCCCCCTGGTCCCCCTGACCCCCCTGATCCCCCTGATCCCCCCTGGTACCCCCCTGATCCCCCCCTGGTCCCCCTGGTACCCCCTGGTACCCCCTGATCCCCCCCTGATCCCCCCTGGTACCCCCCTGATCCCCCCCTGATCCCCCTGGTCCCCCGCAGTGCTGTTTGCCGAGATGACACGTGTGGCGAACCACGTGATGGCGCTCACCACCCACGCACTGGACGTGGGTGCCCTCACCCCCTTCTTCTGGATGTTCGAGGAGCGCGAGAAGGTGACGGGGGTCGGGCGGTGGGGGGGGGGGCGGACACGGTCACCGTGACGACGACGGTGATGGTGTACGGTCACCGTGACGACGACGATGTATGGTCACCGTGACAACGACGATGATGGTGTACGGTCACCGTGACAACGACGATGATGATGTATGGTCACCGTGACGATGATGATGTACGGTCACCGTGACGATGATGATGTTCGGTCACCGTGACGACGACGATGATGATGTACGGTCACCGTGACGACGACGTACAGTCACCGTGATGACGACGATGATGATGTACGGTCACCGTGACGACAATGATGGTGTACGGTCACCGTGACGACGACGGTGATGATGTACGGTCACCGTGGCGACGGCGATGATTTATGGTCACCGTGACAACGACGATGATGATGTACGGTCACCGTGACGACGATGATGGTGTACGGTCACCGTGACGATGATGTACGGTCACCGTGACGATGATGTACGGTCACCATGACGATGATGTATGGTCACCATGACGACGACGATGATGTACGGTCACCGTGACGACGACGTACAGTCACCGTGGCGACGACGATGATGATGTACGGTCACCGTGACGACAACGATGATGATGTACGGTCACCGTGACGACGATGATGTACGGTCACCGTGACGATGATGATGTACGGTCACCGTGGCGACGACGATGATGATGTACGGTCACCGTGACGACGACGATGATGATGTACGGTCACCGTGACGACGACGATGATGGTGTACGGTCACCGTGACGACGACGATGATGATGTACGGTCACCGTGACGACGACGTACAGTCACCGTGGCGACGACGATGATGATGTATGGTCACCGTGACGACGACGATGATGATGTACGGTCACCGTGGCGATGACGATGATGATGTATGGTCACCGTGACGACGACGATGATGATGTATGGTCACCGTGACGACGACGATGATGATGTACGGTCACCGTGACGACGACGTACAGTCACCGTGGCGACGACGATGATGATGTACGGTCACCATGACGACGATGATGATGTACGGTCACCATGACGATGATGATGTACGGTCACCGTGACGATGACGTACAGTCACCGTGACGACGACTATGATGATGTATGGTCACCGTGACGATGATGATGTACGGTCACCGTGACGACGACGATGATGATGTACGGTCACCGTGACGACGACGATGATGATGTACAGCCACAACCGATACGTGTCTCCGTGTCTCACCCCGTGTGTATCTCTCTGTGTCTCTCTGTCTCTCTCTGTGTCTCTCTGTCTCTCTGTGACTGTCTCTGTGTCTCTCTGTGACTGTCTCCGTGTCTCTCTGTGTCTCTGTGACTGTCTCTGTGACTGTCTCTGTGACTGTCTCTGTGTCTCACCCCGTGTGTGTTTCTCTGTGTCTCTGTCTCTCTGTGTCTCTCTAACTCTGTCTCTCTCTGTGTATCGCTCTGTGTCTCTGTCTCTCTCTGTCTCTCTCTGTGTCTGTGACTGTCTCTGTGTTGCTCTGTGACTGTCTCCGTGTCTCATCCCGTCTGTGTCTCTCTGTGACTGTCTCTGTCTCTCTCTAACTCTGTCTGTCTCTGTGTGTCTCTGTGTCTCTGTCTCTCTCTAACTCTGTCTCTCTCTGTGTCTCTGTGTCTCTCTGTGACTGTCTCCGTGTCTCTCTGTAACTGTCTCTCTGTGACTGTCTCTCTCTGTCTCTCTCTAACTCTGTCTCTCTCTGTGTCTGTCTCTGTGTCTCTGTGACTGTCTCCGTGTCTCACCCCGTCTGTGTCTCTCTGTGACTGTCTCTGTCTCTCTCTAACTCTGTCTCTCTCTGTCTCTCTCTGTGACTGTCTCTCTGTCTCTGTAACGCTGTCTCTCTGTAACTGTGTCTCTGTCTCTCTCTAACTCTGTCTCTCTCTGTCTCTCTCTGTGACTGTCTCTCTGTCTCTGTAACGCTGTCTCTCTGTAACTGTGTCTCTGTCTCTCTCTAACTCTGTCTCTCTCTGTCTATCTCTGTGTCTCTGTGACTGTCACTGTGACTCACCCCGTGTGTATCTCTCTGTGTCTCTGTCTCACTGTGTCTCTGTCTCTCTCTAACTCTGTCTCTCTGTCTCTCTGTGTCTCTGTGTCTCTATCTCTCTCTGTGACTGTCTCTCTGTCTCTCTCTAACTCTGTGTCTCTCTGTCTCTGTAACTCTGTCTCTCTGTAACTGTCTCTCTGTGTCTCTGTCTCTCTCTAACTCTGTCTCTCTCTGTCTTTCTGTGACTGTATCTCTGTGTCTCTGTGTCTCTGTCTCTCTCTGTGTCTCTGTGACTGTCTGTGTCTCTGTGTCTCTCTAACTCTGTCTCTCTGTCTCTCTCTGTGTCTCTGTGTCTCTCTCTGTCTCTCTCTGTCTCTCTCTGTCTCTCTCTGTGTCTCTCTGTGTCTCTGTGTCTCTGTCTCTCTCTGTGTCTCTGTGACTGTCTGTCTCTCTGTAACTCTGTCTCTCTCTGTGTCTCTCTGTCTCTCTGTGACTGTCTCTGTGTCTCTTTCTCTCTCTAACTCTGTCTCTCTCTGTGTCTCTGACTCTCTTTGTCTCTGTGTCTCTGTAACTGTCTCTGTGACTGTCTCTGTGTCTCTGTCTCTCTCTAACTCTGTCTCTCTGTGTCTCTGTCTCTCTCTAACTCTGTCTCTCTCTGTCTCTGTCTCTCTCTAACTATGTCTCTCTCTGTCTCTGTCTCTCTCTAACTATGTCTCTCTCTGTCTCTCTCTGTGTCTCTGACTCTCTTTGTCTCTGTGTCTCTGTGACTGTCTCTGTGACTCTGTCTCTCTCTAACTCTGTCTCTCTCTGTCTCTCTCTGTCTCTGTCTCTCTCTAACTATGTCTCTCTCTGTCTCTCTCTGTCTGTCTGACTCTCTCTCTGTCTCTGTGTCTCTGTGACTGTCTCTGTGTCTCTGTCTCTCTCTAACTCTGTCCCTCTGTGTCTCTGTCTCTCTCTAACTCTGTCTGTCTCTAACTATGTCTCTCTCTGTCTCTGTGTCTCTGTAACCGTCTCTCTCTGTGTCTCTGACTCTCTCTTTGTCTCTGTGTCTCTGTGACTGTCTCTGTGTCTCTAGATGTTTGAGTTTTATGAGCGAGTTTCCGGAGCCAGAATGCACGCAGCCTACATCAGACCCGGAGGTGTCCACCAGGTGACTGATTCACCTCCTCCACACCTCCTCCTCCACCTCCTCCTCCACCTCCTCCACCTCCTCCTCCACCTCCTCCTCCACCACCACCTCCTCCTCCACCTCCTCCTCCCTCCTCCACCTCCTCCCCCTCCTCCTCTTCCTCCCCCTCCTCCCCTTCCTCCTCCTCCACCTCCTCCTCCTCCCCCTGCTCCTCCACCTCCTCCCCCTCCTCCCCCTCCTCATCCTCCACCTCCTCCTCCTTCTGATGATGATGATGCTCATGATGATGATTATGCTGATGATGATGATTATGATGATGCTGCTGATGATGATAATTATGATGATGCTGCTGATGATGATTATGATGATGATGCTGCTGATGATGATGATGCTGCTGCTGATGATGATGATGCTGCTGCTGTTGATGATTATGGTGATGCTGATGATGATAATGATGCTGCTGCTGATGATGATGGTGATGCTGATGATGATGCTGCTGATGATGATGATGCTCATGATGATGCTCATGATGATGATGATACTGATGATGCTGCTGCTGATGATGATGGTGATGCTGATGATGCTCATGATGATGCTGATGATGCTCATGATGATGATGATACTGATGATGGTGATGCTGATGATGATGCTCATGATGATGCTGATGATGATGCTGATGATGATGCTCATGATGATGCTCATGATGATGATGATACTGATGATACTGATGATGGTGATGCTCATGATGATGCTGATGATGATGCTCATGATGATGATGATACTGATGATACTGATGATGGTGATGCTCATGATGATGCTGATGATGATGCTGATGATGATGCTCATGATGATGCTCATGATGATGCTCATGATGATGCTCATGATGCTGATGATACTGATGATACTGATGCTCATGATGATGCTGATGATGATGATGCTGATGATGATGATGCTGATGATGATGCTCATGATGATGCTCATGATACTGATGATACTGATGATACTGATGATGATGATGCTCATGATGATGATGCTGATGATGATGCTGATGATGATGCTACTGATGATGTTCATGATGATGTTCATGATGATGATGATACTGATGATGCTGCTGCTGCAGGACATGCCCCTGGGTCTCATGGATGACATCTACGAGTTCATAAAGAACTTCTCCATTCGTATCGACGAGCTGGAAGAGGTGACACCTCCTCACCACCAGCTCCTCACCACCTTTACCTCCTCACCACCACCACCTCCTCACCACCATCACCCCCTCACCACCATCACCTCCTCACCACCACCTCCTCACCACCACCAACCTACCACCATCACCTCCTCACCACCAGCTCCTCACCACCTTTACCTCCTCACCACCATCACCTCCTCACCACCATCACCTCCTCACCACCACCTCCTCACCACCAGCTCCTCACCATCATCACCTCCTCACCACCACCTCCTCACCACCAGCTCCTCACCACCTTTACCTCCTCACCACCACCTCCTCACCACCACCATCACCTCCTCACCACCACCATCACCTCCTCACCACCACCTCCTCACCACCACCAACCTACCACCATCACCTCCTCACCACCACCTCCTCACCACCACCTCACCACCACCTCACCACCACCTCCTCACCACCACCATCACCTCCTCACCACCACCATCCCCTCCTCACCACCACCATCACCTCCTCACCACCACCATCATCTCCTCACCACCACCTCCTCACCACCACCTCCTCACCACCACCATCCCCTCCTCACCACCACCATCACCTCCTCACCACCACCATCATCCCCTCACCACCACCTCCTCACCACCACCATCACCTCCTCACCACCACCACCTCACCACCACCACCTCCTTGTTGTGTGTGGTTGACTGGTTGTGAGTGGTTGACTGGTTGTGAGTGGTTGTGAGTGGTTGACTGGTTGTGATTGGTTGACTGGTTGACTGGTTGTGAGTGGTTGTGACTGGTTGTGACTGGTTGTGAGTGGTTGACTGGTTGTGAGTGGTTGTGACTGGTTGTGAGTGGTTGTGAGTGGTTGACTGGTTGTGAGTGGTTGACTGGTTGTGAGTGGTTGACTGGTTGTGAGTGGTTGTGAGTGGTTGACTGGTTGTGAGTGGTTGACTGGTTGTGAGTGGTTGACTGGTTGTGATTGGTTGACTGGTTGACTGGTTGTGAGTGGTTGACTGGTTGTGAGTGGTTGACTGGTTGTGAGTGGTTGTGACTGGTTGACTGGTTGTGAGTGGTTGACTGGTTGTGAGTGGTTGACTGGTTGTGAGTGGTTGTGAGTGGTTGACTGGTTGTGAGTGGTTGACTGGTTGTGAGTGGTTGTGATTGGTTGTGAGTGGTTGACTGGTTGTGAGTGGTTGTGAGTGGTTGACTGGTTGTGAGTGGTTGTGAGTGGTTGACTGGTTGTGAGTGGTTGACTGGTTGTGAGTGGTTGACTGGTTGTGAGTGGTTGTGAGTGGTTGACTGGTTGTGACTGGTTGACTGGTTGTGAGTGGTTGACTGGTTGTGAGTGGTTGTGAGTGGTTGACTGGTTGTGAGTGGTTGACTGGTTGTGAGTGGTTGACTGGTTGTGAGTGGTTGACTGGTTGACTGGTTGTGAGTGGTTGTGAGTGGTTGTGAGTGGTTGACTGGTTGTGAGTGGTTGACTGGTTGTGAGTGGTTGTGAGTGGTTGACTGGTTGTGAGTGGTTGTGAGTGGTTGTGAGTGGTTGTGAGTGGTTGACTGGTTGTGAGTGGTTGACTGGTTGTGAGTGGTTGACTGGTTGTGAGTGGTTGTGAGTGGTTGACTGGTTGTGAGTGGTTGACTGGTTGTGAGTGGTTGACTGGTTGTGAGTGGTTGACTGGTTGTGAGTGGTTGACTGGTTGTGAGTGGTTGACTGGTTGTGAGTGGTTGTGAGTGGTTGACTGGTTGTGAGTGGTTGTGAGTGGTTGACTGGTTGTGAGTGGTTGTGAGTGGTTGACTGGTTGTGAGTGGTTGTGAGTGGTTGACTGGTTGTGAGTGGTTGACTGGTTGTGACTGGTTGTGACTGGTTGTGAGTGGTTGTGACTGGTTGTGACTGGTTGTGAGTGGTTGACTGGTTGTGAGTGGTTGACTGGTTGTGAGTGGTTGACTGGTTGTGAGTGGTTGACTGGTTGACTGGTTGTGAGTGGTTGACTGGTTGTGAGTGGTTGTGAGTGGTTGTGAGTGGTTGACTGGTTGTGAGTGGTTGACTGGTTGGTGAGTGGTTGACCTGGTTGTGAGTGGTTGACTGGTTGTGAGTGGTTGACTGGTTGTGAGTGGTTGACTGGTTGTTAGTGGTTGTGAGTGGTTGACTGGTTGTGAGTGGTTGTGAGTGGTTGACTGGTTGTGAGTGGTTGTGAGTGGTTGACTGGTTGTGAGTGGTTGACTGGTTGTGAGTGGTTGACTGGTTGTGAGTGGTTGTGAGTGGTTGACTGGTTGTGAGTGGTTGTGAGTGGTTGACTGGTTGTGAGTGGTTGACTGGTTGTGAGTGGTTGACTGGTTGTGAGTGGTTGTGAGTGGTTGACTGGTTGACTGGTTGTGAGTGGTTGTGAGTGGTTGACTGGTTGTGAGTGGTTGTGAGTGGTTGACTGGTTGTGAGTGGTTGCCTGGTTGTGAGTGGTTGCCTGGTTGTGAGTGGTTGACTGGTTGTGAGTGGTTGACTGGTTGTGAGTGGTTGTGAGTGGTTGACTGGTTGTGAGTGGTTGTGAGTGGTTGACTGGTTGTGAGTGGTTGTGAGTGGTTGACTGGTTGTGAGTGGTTGACTGGTTGTGAGTGGTTGACTGGTTGTGAGTGGTTGTGAGTGGTTGACTGGTTGTGAGTGGTTGTGAGTGGTTGACTGGTTGTGAGTGGTTGACTGGTTGTGAGTGGTTGTGAGTGGTTGACTGGTTGTGAGTGGTTGACTGGTTGTGAGTGGTTGCCTGGTTGTGAGTGGTTGTGAGTGGTTGTGAGTGGTTGACTGGTTGTGAGTGGTTGACTGGTTGTGAGTGGTTGACTGGTTGTGACTGGTTGTGAGTGGTTGACTGGTTGTGAGTGGTTGACTGGTTGTGAGTGGTTGACTGGTTGTGAGTGGTTGACTGGTTGTGAGTGGTTGACTGGTTGTGAGTGGTTGTGAGTGGTTGACTGGTTGTGAGTGGTTGTGAGTGGTTGACTGGTTGTGAGTGGTTGTGAGTGGTTGACTGGTTGTGAGTGGTTGACTGGTTGTGAGTGGTTGACTGGTTGACTGGTTGTGACTGGTTGTGACTGGTTGTGAGTGGTTGACTGGTTGTGAGTGGTTGACTGGTTGTGAGTGGTTGACTGGTTGTGAGTGGTTGACTGGTTGACTGGTTGTGAGTGGTTGACTGGTTGTGAGTGGTTGTGAGTGGTTGTGAGTGGTTGACTGGTTGTGAGTGGTTGACTGGTTGTGAGTGGTTGACTGGTTGTGAGTGGTTGACTGGTTGTGAGTGGTTGACTGGTTGTGAGTGGTTGACTGGTTGTTAGTGGTTGTGAGTGGTTGACTGGTTGTGAGTGGTTGTGAGTGGTTGACTGGTTGTGAGTGGTTGTGAGTGGTTGACTGGTTGTGAGTGGTTGACTGGTTGTGAGTGGTTGACTGGTTGTGAGTGGTTGTGAGTGGTTGACTGGTTGTGAGTGGTTGTGAGTGGTTGACTGGTTGTGAGTGGTTGACTGGTTGTGAGTGGTTGACTGGTTGTGAGTGGTTGTGAGTGGTTGACTGGTTGTGAGTGGTTGTGAGTGGTTGACTGGTTGTGAGTGGTTGTGAGTGGTTGACTGGTTGTGAGTGGTTGCCTGGTTGTGAGTGGTTGCCTGGTTGTGAGTGGTTGACTGGTTGTGAGTGGTTGACTGGTTGTGAGTGGTTGTGAGTGGTTGACTGGTTGTGAGTGGTTGTGAGTGGTTGACTGGTTGTGAGTGGTTGTGAGTGGTTGACTGGTTGTGAGTGGTTGACTGGTTGTGAGTGGTTGACTGGTTGTGAGTGGTTGTGAGTGGTTGACTGGTTGTGAGTGGTTGTGAGTGGTTGACTGGTTGTGAGTGGTTGACTGGTTGTGAGTGGTTGTGAGTGGTTGACTGGTTGTGAGTGGTTGTGAGTGGTTGACTGGTTGTGAGTGGTTGCCTGGTTGTGAGTGGTTGCCTGGTTGTGAGTGGTTGACTGGTTGTGAGTGGTTGACTGGTTGTGAGTGGTTGTGAGTGGTTGCCTGGTTGTGAGTGGTTGCCTGGTTGTGAGTGGTTGACTGGTTGTGAGTGGTTGACTGGTTGTGAGTGGTTGTGAGTGGTTGACTGGTTGACTGGTTGTGAGTGGTTGTGAGTGGTTGACTGGTTGTGAGTGGTTGCCTGGTTGTGAGTGGTTGTGTGTGGTTGTGTGGTTGTGTGTGGTTGACTGGTTGTGTGGTTGTGTGTGGTTGTGTGGTTGTGTGTGGTTGTGAGTGGTTGACTGGTTGTGACTGTTTGTGTGGTTGTGTGTGGTTGTGTGTGGTTGCCTGTGGTTGTGTGTGGTTGACTGGTTGTGTGGTTGTGTGTGGTTGTGTGGTTGTGTGTGGTTGTGTGGTTGTGTGGTTGTGTGTGGTTGTGACTGGTTGTGTGGTTGTGTGTGGTGCAGATGCTCACGAGTAATCGTATCTGGAAGAATCGTCTGGTGGACATCGGCGTGGTGACAGCAGAGGAAGCCCTCAACTACGGATTCAGGTGCCACAACCACCACAACTACAACCACCACAACCACCACAACTACAACCACCAATACCATCACCACCACCACCGCAACCATCATCACAACCAGCACAACCACCACCACAACCATAACTACCACCACCACAACCATCACAACCAGCACAACCACCACGACCACAACCAGCACCACCACAACCACAACTACCATCACAACTACTACAACCACCACCACAACCAGCACAACCACCACCACCACAGCCATCACCACCACAACCACCACAACCAGCACAACCACCACAACCACAACTACCATCACCACCACCACAACCATCACCACAACCAGCACAACCACCACCACAACCATCACCACAACCACCACCACCACAACCAGCCACAACCATCACCACCACCATCACCACAACCACCACCACAACCACCACCACAACCATCACCACCACAACCATCACCACAACCACAACCAGCACAACCACAACCACCACAACCAACACCACAACCATCACCACCACCACCACAACCAGCACAACCACCACGACAACCATCACCACAACCATCACCACCACAACCACCACAACCATCACCACCACCACAACCATCACCACAACCATCACCACAACCAGCACAACCACCACCACCACAACCAGCACAACCACCACCACCACAACCACCACAACAACCACCACCACTACTACAACCACCACCACCACAACCATCACCACCACAACCACCACCACAACCATCACCACAACTACAACAACTACAACCACCACAACCACCACCACAACCATCACCACAACCAGCACAACCACCACCACAACAACCACCACCACAACCACCACAACCAGCACTACAACCACCACCACAACCACCACCACTACTACAACCACCACAACCACCACCACAACCACAACCATCACCACCACAACCACCACCACAACCATCACCACAACTACAACAACTACAACCACCACAACCACCACCACAACTACCACAACTACAACCACCACCAGAACCACCACCACAACTACAACCAGCACAACCACCACCACCACAACAACCACCACAACCACCACCACAACCACCACCACAACCACCACCACAACCACCACCACAACCCCCACCACAACTACCACAACTACAACCACCACAACTACAACCACCACAACCATCACCACCACAACCACCACTACAACCACCACAACCACCATCACAACCACCACCACAACTACCACAACTACAACCACAACAACCACCACCACAACCACCACCACAACCACCACCACAACTACCACAACCACCACCACAACCAGCACAACCACCACAACCACCACAAACACCACAACCACCACAAACACCACAACCACCACAACCACCACCACAACTACAACCACCACAATTACAACCACCACAACCATCACCACCACAACCACCACCACAACCACCACCACAACCACCACCACAACTACCACAACTACAACCACAACCACCACCACAACCACCACCACAACTACCACAACTACAACCACCACAACTATCACCACCACAACCACCACCACAACTACCACAACTACAACCACCACCACCACAACTACTACAACCACCACAACCACCACAACCACCACCACAACCACCACCACAACCACCACAACTACAACCACCACAACTATCACCACCACAACTATCACCACCACAACCACCACCACAACTACAACCACCACCACAACCACCACCACAACCACCACCACAACTACAACCACCACCACAACCACCACCACAACTACAACCACCACAACCACCACCACAACCACCACCACAACCACCACCACAACTACCACAACCACCACCACAACCAGCACAACCACCACCACAACCACCACAAACACCACTACAACCACCACAAACACCACCACCACAACCACCACCACAACCACCACCACAACTACAACCACCACAATTACAACCACCACAACCATCACCACCACAACCACCACCACAACTACAACCACCACAACTATCACCACCACAACCACCACCACAACTACCACAACTACAACCACCACAACCACCACCACCACCACAACCACCACCACAACTACTACAACCACCACAACCACCACCACAACTAGCACAACCACCACCACAACCACCACCACAAACACCACCACCACCACAACCACCTTTGTCTGTGTGTGAGGTGCTTGCTAACAGCACTTGCCCCTGCAGTCTTAAGGCTATACGGGAGATCTGTCTCTTTGTCTTTGTACCTGCGTGTGTGTGTGTGCCTGCGTGTACGTCTGTGTGTGTGTGTGTGTGCCTGTGTGTGTGTGTGTCTGTGTGTGTGTGTGTCTGTGTGCGTGTGTGTGTGTGCCTGCGTGTGCGTCTGTGTGTGTGTGTGCCTGTGTGTGTGTCTGTGTGTGTGTGTGTCTGTGTGTGTGTGTCTGTGTGTAAGCGTGTCTGTGTGTGTGTGTCTCTGTGTGCGTGTGTCTGTGTGTGCGTGTGTGTGTGTGTGCCTGCATGTACGTCTGTGTGTGCGTGTGTGTGTGTGTCTGTTAAGGCTATACGGGGGATCTTTGTCTTTGTGTGTGCGTGCGTGTGTGTGTGTGCCTGCGTGTGTGTCTGTGTGTGTGTGTGTCTGTGTGTGTGTGTCTGTGTGTAAGCGTGTCTGTGTGTGTGTGTCTCTGTGTGCGTGTGTCTGTGTGTGCGTGTGTGTGTGTGTGCCTGCGTGTACGTCTGTGTGTGCGTGTGTGTGTGTGTCTGTTAAGGCTATACGGGGGATCTTTGTCTTTGTGTGTGCGTGCGTGTGTGTGTGTGCCTGCGTGTGTGTCTGTGTGTGTGTGTGTGTCTGTGTGTGTGTGTCTGTGTGTGAGCGTGTCTGTGTGTGTGTGTGTCTCTGTGTGCGTGTGTCTGTGTGTGCGTGTGTGTGTGTGTGCCTGCGTGTACGTCTGTGTGTGCGTGTGTGTGTGTGTCTGTTAAGGCTATACGGGGGATCTTTGTCTTTGTGTGTGCGTGCGTGTGTGTGTGTGCCTGCGTGTGTGTCTGTGTGTGTGTGTGTGTCTGTGTGTGTGTGTCTGTGTGTGTGTGTGTCTCTGTGTGCGTGTGTCTGTGTGTGCGTGTGTGTGTGTGTGCCTGCATGTACGTCTGTGTGTGCGTGTGTGTGTGTGTCTGTTAAGGCTATACGGGGGATCTTTATCTTTGTGTGTGCGTGCGTGTGTGTGTGTGCCTGCGTGTGTGTCTGTGTGTGAGCGTGTCTGTGTGTGTGTGTCTCTGTGAGCGTGTCTGTGTGTGTGTGTCTCTGTGTGCGTGTGTGTGTGTGTCTCTGTGTGCGTGTGTCTGTGTGTGCGTGTCTGTGTGTGTGTGTGTGCCTGCGTGTATGTCTGTGTGTGTGTGTGTGTCTGTTAAGGCTATACGGGGGATCTTTGTCTTTATCTTTGTGCTGTGGGGAGCGGTAGTGTAGTGGTTAGCGCTACGCTGCGCTATGAACCTGGCGACCCGGGTTCGATTCCCGCTCACGGCCAACACCAGTGACGATTATCTGAACCGGTCCCGGGCCTCCCATAGGTCGACTCAGCCTCAAATGAGTACCTGGTGCGGTGTGTAAACATTGCTACTGGGGAGACAAAGACGGTCGGGCGTGGTGCTGGCCACCCACCCCCTCGTGTACCGTTCCGGCCTTCATAGGTGCTCGCTAACAGCACTTGCCCCTACAGTCTGTTAAGGCTACACGGGGGATCTTTGTCTTTATCTTTGTGTGTGCCTGCGTGTGTGTCTGTGTGTGTGTCTGCGTGTGCGTGCGTGTGTGTGTGTGCCTGCGTGTGTGTGTGTGTGTCTGTGTGTGTGTGTCTGTGTGTGTGTCTGTGTGTGTGTGTCTGTGTGTGTGTGTCTGTGTGTGTGTGTCTGTGTGACTGTGTGTGTGTGTCTGTGTGTGTGACTGTGTGTGTGACTGTGTGTGTGTCTGTGTGTGTGACTGTGTGTGTGACTGTGTGTGTGTGTCTGTGTGTGTGTCTGTGTGTCTGTGTGTGTGTGTCTGTGTGTGTGTCTGTGTGTCTGTGTGTGTGTGTCTGTGTGTGTGTGACTGTGTGTGTCTGTCTGTGTGTGTGTGTCTGTGTGTGTGTGTGTCTGTGTGTGTGTGACTGTGTGTGTGTGTGTGACTGTGTGTGTGACTGTGTGTGTGACTGTGTGTGTGTGACTGTGTGTGTGTGACTGTGTGTGTCTGTGTGTGTGACTGTGTGTGTGTGTGTGACTGTGTGTGTGACTGTGTGTGTGACTGTGTGTGTGTGACTGTGTGTGTGTGACTGTGTGTGACTGTGTGTGTGTGACTGTGTGTGTGTGTGACTGTGACTGTGTGTGTGTGACTGTGTGTGACTGTGTGTGTGCAGCGGGGTGATGCTCAGGGGCTCTGGGATCAAGTGGGACCTGCGCAAGACGCAGCCCTACGAGGTCTACGACCAGCTGGAGTTCGACGTGCCAGTGGGGTCACGCGGAGACTGCTACGATCGGTACACACAGAGACACACAGACACACACAGACAGTCACACACACAGACACACACACACACAGACACACAGACACACACACACAGACACACACACACAGACACACACACAGACACACACACAGACACACAGACACACACACACAGACACACACACACAGACACACACACAGACACACACACAGACACACACACACACACGTACACACACACACACGTACACATACACACACGTACACACACACGTACACACACACGTGCGCGCCCCGCAACAACAACAACAACCGCCATTCGCCACTAAGTGGCGGTGACGTCACCACAACGCTTGTGCCAGGCTATGTGCACCCTGAGGCCACGTGAAGTGTCGAACGCCCGCTGGCAGGAGGTCACGTGACACACCCAGCAGGTGCCACGGGTCGACTGCTGTGCCAGGCTAGGTGCACGAGGAGGTCACGGGACAGACCCTGCAGGTGCCACGGGTTGCCCGGCCGTGCCAGGCTAGGTGCATGAGGAGGAGGTCACGGCACTTGCCCCGACAGTCCGTTGAGGCTACACGGGGGTGCTTTGCCTGTGCGTTGCAACAGGTACCTTTGTCGCGTGGAGGAGATGAGGCAGAGTCTGAGGATCATGCTGCAGTGCCTCAACAAGGTGGGGCCGGCAATCAGACACCACCGTCATCATCATCATCACCACCATCATCATCACCACCACCATCATCACCATCACCACCACCATCATCATCACCACCATCATCATCACCACCACCATCATCACCATCACCACCACCATCATCATCACCACCATCATCATCATCACCACCATCACCATCATCACCACCATCATCATCACCATCACCACCACCATCATCATCACCACCATCATCATCATCACCACCATCACCACCACCGTCACCACCACCATCATCACCACCACCATCATCACCACCATCATCATCATCACCACCATCACCACCACCATCATCATCACCACCATCATCACCATCATCACCACCATCATCATCATCACCACCATCACCACCACCATCATCATCATCACCACCATCATCACCATCATCACCGCCATCACCACCACCACCATCATCCCCATCACCACCATCACCACCATCATCACCACCATCATCACCATCATCATCACTATCACCACCATCATCACCACCATCATCACCACCATCACCACCGTCACCACCATCACCACCATCATCATCACCACCACCATCATCACCACCACCACCATCACCACCATCATCACCGTCACCACCACCACCATCATCACCACCATCATCACCGTCACCACCGTCACCACCGTCACCACCACCACCACCATCACCACCATCATCACCACCATCACCACCACCGTCACCACCATCATCACCACCACCATCATCATCATCACCACCATCACCATCACCACCATCATCATCACCATCACCGTCACCACCGTCATCATCGCCATCACCATCACCACCGCCATCACCATCACCACCATCATCACCATCACCACCATCATCATCATCACCACCGCCACCACCATCATCATCGCCACCACCGTCGCCACCATCACCGCCACCACCATCATCACCACCATCATCACCACCACCATCACCACCATCATCATCACCACCATCATCACCACCACCACAATGGGAATGTTTTTTTATCAACCCTGTGTCTCCCCCCGTGTCTCCCCCCGTGTCTCCCCCCGTGTCTCTCCCCGTGTCTCTCCCCGTGTCTCCCCCCGTGTCTCCCCCCGTGTCTCCCCCCGTGTCTCTCCCCGTGTCTCTCCCCGTGTCTCCCCCGTGTCTCCCCCCGTGTCTCTCCCCGTGTCTCCCCCCGTGTCTCCCCCCGTGTCTCCCCCCGTGTCTCCCCCCGTGTCTCCCCCCGTGTCTCCCCCCGTGTCTCCCCCCGTGTCTCGCCCCCGTGTCTCGCCCCCGTGTCTCGCCCCCGTGTCTCCCTCCGTGTCTCCCTCCCCCGTGTCTCCTCCCCATGTCTCTCCCCGTGTCTCCTCCCCGTGTCTCTCCCCCGTGTCTCCCCCCGTGTCTCTCTCCCCGTGTCTCTCTCCCCCCCGTGTCTCTCCCCCTGTGTCTCTCCCCCCCGTGTCTCTCCCCGTGTCTCTCCCCCGTGTCTCTCCCCCCGTGTCTCCCCCCCCCGTGTCTCTACCCCCATGTCACTCTCCCCGTGTCTTCCCCCGTATCTCTCCCCGTGTCTCTCCCCCCGTGTCTCTCTCCCCGTGTCTCTCCCCCCCGTGTCTCCCCCCTCCGTGTCTCTCTCTCCGTGTCTCCCCCCTCCGTGTCTCTCTCTCCGTGTCTCTCTCTCCGTGTCTCTCTCCGTGTCTCCCCCCGTGTCTCCCCCAGTGTCTCCCCCAGTGTCTCTCCCCGTGTCTCTCCCCCATGTCTCTCCCCCCGTGTCTCCCCCCCCCGTGTCTCTCTCCCCGTGTCTCCCCCCGTGTCTCCCCCCCCCCGTGTCTCTCCCCGTGTCTCCCCCACGTCTCTCCCCCCCGTGTCTCCCCCCGTGTCTCCCGCCCCGTGTCTCTCCCCCCGTGTCTCTCTACCCGTGTCTCTCCCCGTCTCTCCCCCCCCCCCCCCTGTCTCCCCGTGTCTCCCCCCGTGTCTCCCGCCCCATGTCTCTCCCCGTGTCTCCCCCCGTGTCTCCCCCCGTGTCTCCCCCCGTGTCTCCCCGTGTCTCCCCCCGTGTCTCCCGCCCCATGTCTCCCCCCGTGTCTCCCCCCGTGTCTCTCTCCCCGTGTCTCTCCCCGTGTCTCTCCCCATGTCTCTCCCCGTGTCTCTCCCCGTGTCTCCCCCCGTGTCTCCCCCCGTGTCTCTCCCCCGTGTCTCTCCCCCGTGTCTCTCCCCCGTGTCTCCTCCCCGTGTCTCCCCCCCGTGTCTCTCCCCCCGTGTCTCTCCCCCCGTGTCTCTCCCCCCGTGTCTCTCCCCCCGTGTCTCTCCCCCCGTGTCTCCTCCCCGTGTCTCTCCCCGTGTCTCTCCCCGTGTCTCCCCCTGTGTCTCCCCCCGTGTCTCCCCCCCGTGTCTCCCCCCCGTGTCTCCCCCCCGTGTCTCCCCCCCGTGTCTCCCCCCGTGTCTCTCCCCCGTGTCTCTCCCCCGTGTCTCTCCCCCGTGTCTCCCCCCCGTGTCTCGCCCCCGTGTCTCGCCCCCGTGTCTCCCTCCGTGTCTCCCTCCCCCGTGTCTCCTCCCCGTGTCTCTCCCCGTGTCTCCTCCCCGTGTCTCTCCCCCGTGTCTCTCTCCCCGTGTCTCTCTCCCCGTGTCTCTCTCCCCCCCGTGTCTCTCCCCCTGTGTCTCTCCCCCCCGTGTCTCTCCCCGTGTCTCTCCCCCGTGTCTCTCCCCCCGTGTCTCCCCCCCCCGTGTCTCTACCCCCATGTCACTCTCCCCGTGTCTTCCCCCGTATCTCTCCCCGTGTCTCTCCCCCCGTGTCTCTCTCCCCGTGTCTCTCCCCCCCGTGTCTCCCCCCTCCGTGTCTCTCTCTCCGTGTCTCCCCCCTCCGTGTCTCTCTCTCCGTGTCTCTCTCTCCGTGTCTCTCTCCGTGTCTCCCCCCGTGTCTCCCCCAGTGTCTCTCCCCGTGTCTCTCCCCCATGTCTCTCCCCCCGTGTCTCCCCCCCCCGTGTCTCTCTCCCCGTGTCTCCCCCCGTGTCTCCCCCCCCCCGTGTCTCTCCCCGTGTCTCCCCCACGTCTCTCCCCCCCGTGTCTCCCCCCGTGTCTCCCGCCCCGTGTCTCTCCCCCCGTGTCTCTCTACCCGTGTCTCTCCCCGTCTCTCCCCCCCCCCCCCCTGTCTCCCCGTGTCTCCCCCCGTGTCTCCCGCCCCATGTCTCTCCCCGTGTCTCCCCCCGTGTCTCCTACCCCGTGTCTCCTACCCCGTGTCTCCCCGTGTCTCCCCCCGTGTCTCCCGCCCCATGTCTCCCCCCGTGTCTCCCCCCGTGTCTCTCTCCCCGTGTCTCTCCCCATGTCTCTCCCCGTGTCTCTCCCCATGTCTCCTACCCCGTGTCTCCTACTCCGTGTCTCCTACCCCGTGTCTCCCCCCGTGTCTCTCCCCCGTGTCTCCTCCCCGTGTCTCCCCCCGTGTCTCCCCCCGTGTCTCTCCCCCCGTGTCTCTCCCCCCGTGTCTCTCCCCCCGTGTCTCTCCCCCCGTGTCTCTCCCCCCGTGTCTCCTCCCCGTGTCTCTCCCCGTGTCTCTCCGTGTCTCCCCCCGTGTCTCCCCCCCGTGTCTCCCCCCCGTGTCTCCCCCCCGTGTCTCCCCCCCGTGTCTCCCCCCCGTGTCTCCCCCCCGTGTCTCCCCCCGTGTCTCTCCCCCGTGTCTCTCTCCGTGTCTCTCCCCCCATGTCTCCCCCCGTGTCTCTCCCCCCCGTGTCTCCCCCCTCCGTGTCTCTCTCCCCGTGTCTCTCTCCCCGTGTCTTTGTCGTTGTTGCTGTTGCAACGTTCGGAGCCCGTGCCCCTCCGCTGGACCTGTGTGAGATATGAAAGAGCTTCATGGCTCTTCGGATTCCTCCTCCTCCTGCTGCTGCAGTCTAAATCCTCTGATTGTGATTCTGACCACCGCCCGCAGATGCCCACGGGCGAGATCAAGGTGGACGATGCCAAAGTCTCCCCACCAAAGCGGTCGGAGATGAAGGTAACGTGGGTGGGTGGGTTAGTGGGTGGGTGGGTGGGTTAGTGGGTGGGTGGGTTAGTGGGTGAGTGAGTGGGTGGGTGGGTGGGTTAGTGGGTGAGTGGGTTGGTGGGTGGGTTAGTGGGTGGGTTAGTGGGTGGGTGGGTTAGCGGGTGGGTGGGTTAGTGGGTGGGTGGGTGGGTTAGTGGGTGGGTGGGTGAGTGGGTGGGTGGGTGGGTGGGTTGGTGGGTGGGTGGGTGGGTTAGTGGGTGGGTTAGTGGGTGGGTTAGTGGGTGGGTGGTATAGTGGGTGGGTGGGTTAGTGAGTGGGTGGGTGGGATAGTGGGTGGGTTAGCGGGTGAGTGGGTGAGTGAGTGGGTGGGTGGGTGGGTTAGTGGGTGGGTGGGTTAGTGGGTGAGTGGGTGGGTGAGTGGGTGGGTTAGTGAGTGGGTGGGTTAGTGAGTGAGTGGGTGGGTGAGTGAGTGAGTGAGTCATTGAGTGAGTGGGTGAGTGGGTGGGTGGGTGGGTGAGTGAATGAGTGAGTGAATGAGTGGGTGGGTGGGTTAGTGGGTGGGTGGGTGGGTTAGTGGGTGGGTGGGTTAGTGAGTGAGTGGGTGGGTGGATGAGTGAGTGGATGAGTGAGTGAGTGAGTTGGTGAGTGTTGTGGGTTTGGTGGGTGGGTGGGGTGGGTGGGTGAGTTGGTGAGTGGGTGAGTGGGTGGGTGAGTGGGTGGGTGGGTTAGTGGGTGGGTGGGGACGTGGCCTGGTTGAGTGGGTGGGTGGGCCAATTAGTGGATGGGTGGGTTAGTGGGTGGGTTAGTGGGTGGGTTTGTTAGTGGGTGGGTGGGTTGAGTGGGTGAGTGAGTGGGTTGGGTGAGTGGGTGGGTTGAGTGGGTTAGTGGGTGGGTTGGTTAGTGGGTGGGTGGGTGGGTTGAGTGGGTGGGAGAGTTGGTGAGTGGGTGGGTGAGTGTGTGAGTGAGTGGGTGGGTGAGTGAGTGAGTGGTTGGGTGAGTGAGTGGGTGAGTGGGTGAGTGAGTGAGTGAGTGGGTGAGTGGGTGAGTGAGTGGGTGAGTGGGTGAGTGAGTGAGTGAGTGGGTGAGTGGGTGGGTGAGTGAGTAGGTGAGTGAGTGAGTGGGTGAGTGAGTGGGTGAGTGAGTGAGTGGGTGAGTGAGTGAGTAAGTGAGTGGGTGAGTGAGTGAGTGAGTGGGTGGGTGGGTGGGTGAGTGAGTGAGTGGGTGAGTGAGTGAGTGAGTGGGTGGGTGAGTGAGTGGGTGGGTGAGTGAGTGAGTGAGTAGGTGGGTGAGTTAGTGAGTGGGTGAGTGAGTGTGTGAGTGGTGAGTGGTTGGGTGAGTGTGTGAGTGAGTGGGTGAGTGAGTGGGTGAGTGGGTGAGTAAGTGAGTGAGTGGGTGAGTGGTTGGTTGGGTGAGTGAGTGAGTAAGTGGGTGAGTGAGTAAGTGGGTGGGTGAGTGAGTAAGTGGGTGGGTGAGTGAGTAAGTGGGTGGGTGAGTGGGTGAGTGAGTGAGTGAGTGGGTGAGTGAGTGAGTGAGTGGGTGAGTGAGTGGGTGAGTAAGTGGGTGGGTGAGTGAGTGAGTGAGTCGGTGAGGTTCACCGCAGCTCCCAGGGCGAGGCCTAGGATGACTTCAGTCCACCGCTGTCCACCGCTGTCCACCGCTGTTTGGCGTTGACCGTGAGCGGGGATCCACACGGCGCTCGTGCCAGGCTGGGTTCACGTCAAGGGGGCGTCTGTGCCGGGTTTTGGCGATTGTGACGCTGACCTCCGTGACACCCCCCTCCACCCCCCCCCCCCCACCTCCCCCCCCCCCACTCTTCCCCCCACCTCCCCCCCCACCACAGACGTCAATGGAGGCGCTGATCCACCACTTCAAGCTGTACACGGAGGGCTACCAGGTGCCCCCAGGGGCCACCTACACAGCCATCGAGGCTCCAAAGGTTCGGTCACTCGGCCAGATACCGGGTTACCTTATAGCTGGTTACCTTATAGCTGGTTACCTTGTAGCTGGTTACCTTATAGCTGGTTACCTTGTAGCTGGTTAGCTTATAGCTGGTTACCTTATACCTGGTTACATTATAGCTGGTTACCTTATAGCTGGTTACCTTGTAGCTGGTTACCTTATAGCTGGTTACCTTGTAGCTGGTTAGCTTATACCTGGTTACCTTATAGCTGGTTACCTTATAGCTGGTTACCTTGTAGCTGGTTACCTTGTAGCTGGTTACCTTGTAGCTGGTTACCTTATAGCTGGTTACCTTGTAGCTGGTTAGCTTATACCTGGTTACCTTATAGCTGGTTACCTTATAGCTGGTTACCTTATAGCTGGTTACCTTGTAGCTGGTTACCTTGTAGCTGGTTACCTTATAGCTGGTTACCTTATAGCTGGTTACCTTATAGCTGGTTACCTTGTAGCTGGTTACCTTGTAGCTGGTTACCTTATAGCTGGTTACCTTATAGCTGGTTACCTTATAGCTGGTTACCTTGTAGCTGGTTACCTTGTAGCTGGTTACCTTATACCTGGTTACCTTATAGCTGGTTAGCTTATAGCTGGGTACCTTATAGCTGGTTACCTTGTAGCTGGTTACCTTGTAGCTGGTTACCTTGTAGCTGGTTACCTTATAGCTGGTTACCTTGTAGCTGGTTACCTTATAGCTGGTTAGCTTATAGCTGGTTACCTTATAGCTGGTTAGCTTATAGCTGGTTACCTTATAGCTGGTTACCTTGTAGCTGGTTACCTTGTAGCTGGTTACCTTATACCTGGTTACCTTATAGCTGGTTAGCTTATAGCTGGGTACCTTATAGCTGGTTACCTTGTAGCTGGTTACCTTGTAGCTGGTTACCTTGTAGCTGGTTACCTTATAGCTGGTTACCTTGTAGCTGGTTACCTTATAGCTGGTTACCTTATAGCTGGTTACCTTATAGCTGGTTACCTTGTAGCTGGTTACCTTGTAGCTGGTTACCTTATACCTGGTTACCTTATAGCTGGTTAGCTTATAGCTGGGTACCTTATAGCTGGTTACCTTGTAGCTGGTTACCTTGTAGCTGGTTACCTTGTAGCTGGTTACCTTATAGCTGGTTACCTTGTAGCTGGTTACCTTATAGCTGGTTAGCTTATAGCTGGTTACCTTATAGCTGGTTAGCTTATAGCTGGTTAGCTTATAGCTGCTTACCTTATAGCTGGTTACCTTGTAGCTGGTTACCTTATAGCTGTTTACCTTGTAGCTGGTTACCTTGTAGCTGGTTACCTTATACCTGTTTACCTTATAGCTGGTTACCTTATAGCTGGTTACCTTATAGCTGGTTACCTTATAGCTGGTTACCTTATAGCTGGTTACCTTATAGCTGGGTACCTTATAGCTGGTTACCTTATAGCTGGTTACCTTATACCTGGTTACCTTATAGCTGGTTACCTTATACCTGGTTACCTTATACCTGGTTACCTTATACCTGGTTACCTTATACCTGGTTACCTTATACCTGGTTACCTTATAGCTGGTTACCTTATAGCTGGTTACCTTATAGCTGGTTACCTTGTAGCTGGTTACCTTATAGCTGGTTACCTTATAGCTGGTTACCTTATAGCTGGTTACCTTATAGCTGGTTACCTTATAGCGGGTTACCTTGTAGCTGGTTACCTTGTAGCTGGTTACCTTGTAGCTGGTTACCTTATAGCTGGTTACCTTATAGCTGGTTACCTTATACCTGGTTACCTTATACCTGGTTACCTTGTAGCTGGTTACCTTATAGCTGGTTACCTTATAGCTGGTTACCTTATACCTGGTTACCTTGTAGCTGGTTACTTTGTAGCTGGTTACCTTATAGCTGGTTACCTTGTAGCTGGTTACCTTGTAGCTGGTTACCTTATAGCTGGTTACTTTATAGCTGGTTATCAGATTGCTGGTTACCTTATAGCTGGTTACCTTATACCTGGTTACCTTGTAGCTGGTTACCTTGTAGCTGGTTACCTTGTAGCTGGTTACCTTGTAGCTGGTTACCTTATAGCTGGTTACCTTGTAGCTGGTTACCTTATAGCTGGTTACCTTATAGCTGGTTACCTTATAGCTGGTTATCTTGTAGCTGGTTACCTTATAGCTGGTTACCTTATAGCTGGTTACCTTATAGCTGGTTACCTTGTAGCTGGTTACCTTATAGCTGGTTACCTTATAGCTGGTTACCTTATACCTGGTTACCTTGTAGCTGGTTACCTTGTAGCTGGTTACCTTATAGCTGGTTACCTTGTAGCTGGTTACCTTGTAGCTGGTTACCTTATAGCTGGTTACCTTATAGCTGGTTATCAGATTGCTGGTTACCTTATAGCTGGTTACCTTATACCTAGTTACCTTGTAGCTGGTTACCTTGTAGCTGGTTACCTTATAGCTGGTTACCTTATACCTGGTTACCTTATACCTGGTCACCTTGTAGCTGGTTACCTTGTAGCTGGTTACCTTATAGCTGGTTACCTTATAGCTGGTTACCTTATAGCTGGTTACCTTATAGCTGGTTACCTTATACCTGGTTACCTTATAGCTGGTTACCTTATACCTGGTTACCTTATAGCTGGTTACCTTATAGCTGGTTACCTTATAGCTGGTTACCTTATAGCTGGTTACCTTATAGCGGGTTACCTTGTAGCTGGTTACCTTGTAGCTGGTTACCTTATAGCTGGTTACCTTATAGCTGGTTACCTTATAGCCGGTTACCTTATAGCTGGTTACCTTATAGCTGGTTACCTTATACCTGGTTACCTTATAGCTGGTTACCTTATAGCTGGTTACCTTATAGCTGGTTACCTTATAGCTGGTTACCTTATACCTGGTTACCTTATAGCTGGTTACCTTATAGCTGGTTACCTTATAGCTGGTTACCTTATAGTTGGTTACCTTATAGCTGGTTACCTTATAGCTGGTTACCTTATAGTTGGTTACCTTATAGCTGGTTACCTTATAGCTGGTTACCTTATAGTTGGTTACCTTATAGCTTGTTACCTTGTAGCTGGTTACCTTGTAGCTGGTTACCTTATAGCTGGTTACCTTGTAGCTGGTTACCTTATAGCTGGTTAGCTTATAGCTGGTTACCTTATAGCTGGTTAGCTTATAGCTGGTTAGCTTATAGCTGCTTACCTTATAGCTGGTTACCTTGTAGCTGGTTACCTTATAGCTGTTTACCTTGTAGCTGGTTACCTTGTAGCTGGTTACCTTATACCTGTTTACCTTATAGCTGGTTACCTTATAGCTGGTTACCTTATAGCTGGTTACCTTATAGCTGGTTACCTTATAGCTGGTTACCTTATAGCTGGGTACCTTATAGCTGGTTACCTTATAGCTGGTTACCTTATACCTGGTTACCTTATACCTGGTTACCTTATACCTGGTTACCTTATACCTGGTTACCTTATACCTGGTTACCTTATACCTGGTTACCTTATAGCTGGTTACCTTATAGCTGGTTACCTTATAGCTGGTTACCTTGTAGCTGGTTACCTTGTAGCTGGTTACCTTATAGCTGGTTACCTTATAGCTGGTTACCTTATAGCTGGTTACCTTATAGCTGGTTACCTTATAGCGGGTTACCTTGTAGCTGGTTACCTTGTAGCTGGTTACCTTGTAGCTGGTTACCTTATAGCTGGTTACCTTATAGCTGGTTACCTTATAGCTGGTTACCTTATACCTGGTTACCTTATACCTGGTTACCTTGTAGCTGGTTACCTTATAGCTGGTTACCTTATAGCTGGTTACCTTATACCTGGTTACCTTGTAGCTGGTTACTTTGTAGCTGGTTACCTTATAGCTGGTTACCTTGTAGCTGGTTACCTTGTAGCTGGTTACCTTATAGCTGGTTACCTTATAGCTGGTTATCAGATTGCTGGTTACCTTATAGCTGGTTACCTTATACCTGGTTACCTTGTAGCTGGTTACCTTGTAGCTGGTTACCTTGTAGCTGGTTACCTTGTAGCTGGTTACCTTATAGCTGGTTACCTTGTAGCTGGTTACCTTATAGCTGGTTACCTTATAGCTGGTTACCTTATAGCTGGTTATCTTGTAGCTGGTTACCTTATAGCTGGTTACCTTATAGCTGGTTACCTTATAGCTGGTTACCTTGTAGCTGGTTACCTTATAGCTGGTTACCTTATAGCTGGTTACCTTATACCTGGTTACCTTGTAGCTGGTTACCTTGTAGCTGGTTACCTTATAGCTGGTTACCTTGTAGCTGGTTACCTTGTAGCTGGTTACCTTATAGCTGGTTACCTTATAGCTGGTTATCAGATTGCTGGTTACCTTATAGCTGGTTACCTTATACCTAGTTACCTTGTAGCTGGTTACCTTGTAGCTGGTTACCTTATAGCTGGTTACCTTATACCTGGTTACCTTATACCTGGTCACCTTGTAGCTGGTTACCTTGTAGCTGGTTACCTTATAGCTGGTTACCTTATAGCTGGTTACCTTATAGCTGGTTACCTTATAGCTGGTTACCTTATACCTGGTTACCTTATAGCTGGTTACCTTATACCTGGTTACCTTATAGCTGGTTACCTTATAGCTGGTTACCTTATAGCTGGTTACCTTATAGCTGGTTACCTTATAGCGGGTTACCTTGTAGCTGGTTACCTTGTAGCTGGTTACCTTATAGCTGGTTACCTTATAGCTGGTTACCTTATAGCCGGTTACCTTATAGCTGGTTACCTTATAGCTGGTTACCTTATACCTGGTTACCTTATAGCTGGTTACCTTATAGCTGGTTACCTTATAGCTGGTTACCTTATACCTGGTTACCTTATACCTGGTTACCTTATAGCTGGTTACCTTATAGCTGGTTACCTTATAGCTGGTTACCTTATAGTTGGTTACCTTATAGCTGGTTACCTTATAGCTGGTTACCTTATAGTTGGTTACCTTATAGCTGGTTACCTTATAGCTGGTTACCTTATAGTTGGTTACCTTATAGCTTGTTACCTTATAGCTGGTTACCTTGTAGCTGGTTACCTTATAGCTGGTTACCTTATAGCTGGTTACCTTGTAGCTGGTTACCTTATAGCTGGTTACCTTATAGCTGGTTACCTTGTAGCTGGTTACCTTATAGCTGGTTACCTCATACCTGGTTACTAGATACCTGGTTACCTTATACCTGGTTACCTTATAGCTGGTCACCTTGTAGCTGGTCACCTTATAGCTGGTTACCTTATAGCTGGTTACCTTACACCTGGTTACCTTATACCTGGTTACCTTATAGCTGGTTACCTTATTCCTGGTTATCTTATAGCTGGTTACCTTACAGCTGGTTACCTTATACCTGATTATCTTATAGCTGGTTACCTTATAGCTGGTTACCTTATAGCTGGTTACCTTATAGCTGGTTACCTTATACCTGGTTGCCTTATAGCTGGTTGCCTTATAGCTGGTTACCGCATACCTGGTTACCTTATAGCTGGTTACCTTATACCTGGTTACCTTATACCTGGTTACCTTATAGCTGGTTACCTTATACCTGGTTGCCTTATAGCTGGTTACCGCATACCTGGTTACCTTATAGCTGGTTACCTTATACCTGGTTACCAGATTCCTGGTTACCTTATACCTGGTTACCTTATACCTGGTTACCTTATACCTGGTTACCAGGTTCTTTGTCTGTGTGTGAGGTGCTAGCTAACAGCACTTGCCCCTGCAGCCTGTTAGAGGCTACACGGGGGACCTTTGTCTGTGTCTGTGTGCGAGGTGCTAGCTAACAGCACTTGCCCCTACAGCCTGTTAGAGGCTACACGGGGGATCTTTGTCTGTGTCTGTGTGTGAGGTGCTAGCGATCAGCACTTGCCCCTGCAGTCTGTTAGAGGCTACAAGGGGGAGCTTTGTCTGTGTCTGTGTGTGAGGTGCTAGCTAACAGCACTTGCCCCTGCAGCCTGTTAGAGGCTACACGGGGGATCTTTGTCTGTGTCTGTATGTGAGGTGCTAGCTAACAGCACTTGCCCCTACAGCCTGTCAGAGGCTACATGGGGGATCTTTGTCTGTGTCTGTGTGTGAGGTGCTCGCTAACAGCACTTGCCCCTGCAGCCTGGTAGAGGCTACACGGGGGATCTTTGTCTTTGTCTGTGTGTGAGGTGCTAGCTAACAGCACTTGCCCCTACAGCATGTTAGAGGCTACACGGGGGATCTTTGTCTGTGTCTATGTGCGAGGTGCTAGCGATCAGCACTTGCCCCTGCAGTCTGTTAGAGGCTACACGGGGGATCTTTGTCTGTATCTGTGTGTGAGGTGCTAGCTAACAGCACTTGCCCCTACAGTCTGTTAGAGGCTACACGGGGGAGCTTTGTCTGTGTCTGTGTGTGAGGTGCTAGCTAACAGCACTTGCCCCTACAGCCTGTTAGAGGCTACACAGGGGATCTTTGTCTGTGTCTGTGTGTGAGGTACTAGCTAACAGCACTTGCCCCTGCAGTCTGTTAGAGGCTACACGGGGGATCTTTGTCTGTGTTTGTGTGTGAGGTGCTAGCTAACAGCACTTGCCCCTGCAGTCTGTTATAGGCTACACGGGGGATCTTTGTCTGTGTGTGAGGTGCTTTCTAACAGCACTTGCCCCTACAGTCTGTTAGAGGCTACATGGGGGATCTTTGTCTGTGTGTGAGGTGCTAGCGATCAGCACTTGCCCCTGCAGTCTGTTAGAGGCTACACGGGGGATCTTTGTCTGTGTCTGTGTGTGAGGTGCTAGCTAACAGCACTTGCCCCTACAGCATGTTAGAGGCTACACGGGGGATCTTTGTCTGTGTCTATGTGCGAGGTGCTAGCGATCAGCACTTGCCCCTGCAGTCTGTTAGAGGCTACACGGGGGATCTTTGTCTGTGTCTGTGTGTGAGGTGCTAGCTAACAGCACTTGCCCCTACAGTCTGTTAGAGGCTACACGGGGGAGCTTTGTCTGTGTCTGTGTGTGAGGTGCTAGCTAACAGCACTTGCCCCTGCAGTTTGTTAGAGGCTACACGGGGGATCTTTGTCTGTGTCTGTGTGCGAGGTGCTAGCTAACAGCACTTGCCCCTACAGCCTGTTAGAGGCTACACGGGGGATCTTTGTCTGTGTCTGTGTGCGAGGTGCTAGCTAACAGCACTTGCCCCTACAGCCTGTTAGAGGCTACACGGGGGATCTTTGTCTGTGTCTGTGTGCGAGGTGCTAGCGATCAGCCCTTGCCCCTGCAGTATGTTACAGGCTACACGGGGGATCTTTGTCTGTGTCTGTGTGTGAGGTGCCAGCTAACAGCACTTGCCCCTGCAGCTTGTTAGAGGCTACACGCGGGATCTTTGTCTGTGTCTGTGTGTGAGGTGCTAGCTAACAGCACTTGCCCCTGCAGTATGTTAGAGGCTACACGGGGGATCTTTGTCTGTGTGTATGTCTGAGGTGCTAGCTAACAGCACTTGCCCCTGCAGCCTGTTAGAGGCTACACGGGGGATCTTTGTCTGTGTCTGTGTGTGAGGTGCTAGCGATCAGCACTTGCCCCTGCAGTATGTTAGAGGCTACACGGGGGATCTTTGTCTGTGTCTGTGTGTGAGGTGCTAGCTAACAGCACTTGCCCCTACAGCCTGTCAGAGGCTACACGGGGGATCTTTGTCTGTGTCTGTGTGCGAGGTGCTAGCTAACAGCACTTGCCCCTACAGCATGTTAGAGGCTACACGGGGGATCTTTGTCTGTGTCTGTGTGTGAGGTGCTAGCGATCAGCACTTGCCCCTGCAGTATGTTAGAGGCTACACGGGGGATCTGTGTCTGTGTGTGAGGTGCTAGCTAACAGCACTTGCCCCTACAGCCTGTTAGAGGCTACACGGGGGATCTTTGTCTGTATCTGTGTGTGAGGTGCTAGCTAACAGCACTTGCCCCTACAGCCTGTTAGAGGCTACACGGGGAATCTTTGTCTGTGTCTGTGTGTGAGGTGCTAGCGATCAGCACTTGCCCCTGCAGTATGTTAGAGGCTACACGGGGGATCTTTGTCTGTGTCTGTGTGCGAGGTGCTAGCGATCAGCACTTGCCCCTGCAGTCTGTTAGAGGCTACACTGGGGTTCTTTGTCTGTGTGTGAGGTGCTAGCGATCAGCACTTGCCCCTGCAGTCTGTTAGAGGCTACACGGGGGTTCTTTGTCTGTGTGTGAGGTGCTAGCGATCAGCACTTGCCCCTGCAGTATGTTACAGGCTACACGGGGGATCTGTGTCTGTGTGTGAGGTGCTAGCGATCAGCCCTTGCCCCTGCAGTATGTTAGAGGCTACACGGGGGATCTTTGTCTGTGTCTGTGTGTGAGGTGCTAGCTAACAGCACTTGCCCCTGCAGTCTGTTAGAGGCTACACGGGGGATCTTTGTCTGTGTCTGTATGTGAGGTGCTAGCTAACAGCACTTGCCCCTACAGCCTGTTAGAGGCTACACAGGGGATCTTTGTCTGTGTCTGTGGGCGAGGTGCTAGCGATCAGCCCTTGCCCCTGCAGTCTGTTAGAGGCTACATGGGGGATCTTTGTCTGTGTCTGTGTGTGAGGTGCTAGCTAACAGCACTTGCCCCTGCAGCTTTTTAGAGGCTACACGGGGGATCTTTGTCTGTGTCTGTGTGTGAGGTGCTAGCGATCAGCACTTGCCCCTGCAGTATGTTACAGGCTACACGGGGGATCTGTGTCTGTGTGTGAGGTGCTAGCGATCAGCCCTTGCCCCTGCAGTATGTTAGAGGCTACACGGGGGATCTTTGTCTGTGTGTGAGGTGCTAGCGATCAGCACTTGCCCCTGCAGTCTGTTAGAGGCTACACGGGGGATCTTTGTCTGTGTGTGAGGTGCTAGCGATCAGCCCTTGCCCCTGCAGTCTGTTAGAGGCTACACGGGGGATCTTTGTCTGTGTCTGTGTGTGAGGTGCTAGCGATCAGCACTTGCCCCTGCAGTCTGTTAGAGGCTACACGGGGGATCTTTGTCTGTGTCTGTGTGTGAGGTGCTAGCGATCAGCACTTGCCCCTGCAGTCTGTTAGAGGCTACACGGGGGTTCTTTGTCTGTGTGTGAGGTGCTAGCGATCAGCACTTGCCCCTGCAGCCTGTTAGAGGCTACACGGGGGATCTGTGTCTGTGTGTGAGGTGCTAGCGATCAGCCCTTGCCCCTGCAGTATGTTAGAGGCTACACGGGGGATCTTTGTCTGTGTGTGAGGTGCTAGCGATCAGCCCTTGCCCCTGCAGTCTGTTAGAGGCTACACGGGGGATCTGTGTCTGTGTGTGAGGTGCTAGCGATCAGCCCTTGCCCCTGCAGTATGTTACAGGCTACACGGGGGATCTTTGTCTGTGTCTGTGTAGGGGGAGTTTGGGGTGTACCTGGTCTCGGATGGAAGCAGCCGCCCCTATCGCTGCAAGATCAAGGCTCCCGGCTTCGCCCACCTGGTGAGAGACTCGCCTGCGTTGGTGATCATCGGTGCAGCCCCCAATTCTGTCGAATCCAAATTTGTAATGTTACATCATTTGACGATAAAAATACGTGCAAATACAACTGAACGACGTTTTTTTTTTGTATCTCACCGGGCAAAGGCCACTCTGAAGCATTCCGTTGTTGTATTTGCTGCCTTGCCCAAATACCACCACCACCACCACCACCGTCACCATCACCCGTCACGGCCCAATCAGTAAGAGGAGTTTAGTCACTTAAACAAACGGTGGCCTGACTAGTTAACTAGCTCAGTACTAAACCAGTCACCACCACCGTCACCAGACACGGCCAATCAGTAAGAGGAGTTTAGTCACTTAAACAAACGGTGGCCTAACTAGTTAACTAGCTCAGTACTAAACCAGTCACCACCACCGTCACCATCACCCGTCACGGCCCAATCAGTAAGAGGAGTTTGGTCACTTAAACAAACGGTGGCCTAACTAGTTAACTAGCTCAGCTGTAAACCAGTCACCACAACCGTCACCACCACCCGACACGGCCAATCAGTAAGAGGAGTTTAGTCACTTAAACTAACGGTGGCCTAACTAGTTAACTAGCTCAGCTCTAAACCAATCACCACCACCACCGTCACCAGACATGGCCAATCATTAAGAGGAGTTTAGTCACTTAAACAAACGGTGGCCTAACTAGTTAACTAGCTCAGTACTAAACCAGTCACCACCACCACCGTCACCAGACACGGCCAATCAGTAAGAGGAGTTTAGTCACTTAAACAAACGGTGGCCTAACTAGTTAACTAGCTCAGCTGTAAACCAGTCATCACCACCGTCACCATCACCCGTCACGGCCCAATCAGTAAGAGGAGTTTGGTCACTTAAACAAACGGTGGCCTAACTAGTTAACTAGCTCAGCTCTAAACCAATCACCACCACCACCGTCACCAGACATGGCCAATCATTAAGAGGAGTTTAGTCACTTAAACAAACGGTGGCCTAACTAGTTAACTAGCTCAGTACTAAACCAGTCACCACCACCACCGTCACCAGACACGGCCAATCAGTAAGAGGAGTTTAGTCACTTAAACAAACGGTGGCCTAACTAGTTAACTAGCTCAGCTCTAAACCAGTCACCACCACCGTCACCAGACACGGCCAATCAGTAAGAGGAGTTTAGTCACTTAAACAAACGGTGGCCTAACTAGTTAACTAGCTCAGCACTAAACCAGCCACCACCACCACCTTCACCAAACACGGCCAATCAGTAAGAGGAGTTTAGTCACTTAAACAAACGGTGGCCTAACTAGTTAACTAGCTCAGCACTAAACCAGCCACCACCACCACCGTCACCAGACACGGCCAATCAGTAAGGTGGAGTTTAGTCACTTAAACAAACGGTGGCCTGACTAGTTAACTAGCTCAGCACTAAACCAGTCAACACCACCGTCACCAGACACGGCCAATCAGTAAGAGGAGTTTAGTCACTTAAACAAACGGTGGTCTAACTAGTTAACTAGCTCAGCTCTAAACCAGTCACCACCACCGTCACCACCCGACACGGCCAATCAGTAAGAGGAGTTTAGTCACTTAAACAAACGGTGGCCTAACTAGTTAACTAGCTCAGCTCTAAACCAGTCACCACCACCGTCACCACCCTACACGGCCAATCAGTAAGAGGAGTTTAGTCACTTAAACAAACGGTGGCCTAACTAGTTAACTAGCTCAGCACTAAACCAGTCAACACCACCGTCACCATCACTCGTCACGGCCAATCAGTAAGAGGAGTTTAGTCACTTAAACAAACGGTGGCCTAACTAGTTAACTAGCTCAACACTTAACCAGTCACCACCACCACCGTCACCACCCGTCACGGCCAATCAGTAAGAGGAGTTTAGTCACTTAAACAAACGGTGGCCTAACTAGTTAACTAGCTCAGCACTAAACCAGTCATCACCACCGTCACCACCAGACACGGCCAATCAGTAAGAGGAGTTTAGTCACTTAAACAAACGGTGGCCTAACTAGTTAACTAGCTCAACACTTAACCAGTCACCACCACCGTCACCATCACTCGTCACGGCCAATCAGTAAGAGGAGTTTAGTCACTTAAACAAACGGTGGCCTGACTAGTTAACTAGCTCAGTACTAAACCAGTCACCACCACCATCACCAGACACGGCCAATCAGTAAGAGGAGTTTAGTCACTTAAACAAACGGTGGACTAACTAGTTAACTAGCTCAGCTGTAAACCAGTCATCACCACCGTCACCATCACCCGACACGACCAATCAGTAAGAGGAGTTTAGTCACTTAAACAAACGGTGGTCTAACTAGTTAACTAGCTCAGCTCTAAACCAGTCACCACCACCGTCACCAGACACGGCCAATCAGTAAGAGGAGTTTAGTCACTTAAACAAACCACGGCCTGACTAGTTAACTAGCTCAGCACTTAACCAGTCACCACCATCACCACCCGTCACGGCCAATCAGTAAGAGGAGTTTAGTCACTTAAACAAACGGTGGCCTAACTAGTTAACTAGCTCAGCACTAAACCAGTCATCACCACCGTCACCAGACACGGCCAATCAGTAAGAGGAGTTTAGTCACTTAAACTAACGGTGGCCTAACTAGTTAACTAGCTCAGCACTAAACCAGTCACCACCACCTTCACCAAACACGGCCAATCAGTAAGAGGAGTTTAGTCACTTAAACAAACGGTGGCCTAACTAGTTAACTAGCTCAGTACTAAACCAGTCACGACCACCGTCACCAGACACGGCCAATCAATAAGAGGAGTTTAGTCACTTAAACAAACCGTGGCATAACTAGTTAACTAGCTCAGTACTAAACCAGTCACCACCACCGTCACCAGACACGGCCAATCAGTAAGAGGAGTTTAGTCACTTAAACAAACGGTGGCCTAACTAGTTAACTAGCTCAGCTCTAAACCAGTCACCACCATCACCGTCACCACCCGACACGGCCAATCAGTAAGAGGAGTTTAGTCACTTAAACAAACGGTGGCCTGACTAGTTAACTAGCTCAGCACTAAACCAGTCACCACCACTGTCACCAGACACGGCCAATCAGTAAGAGGAGTTTAGTCACTTAAACAAACGGTGGCCTAACTAGTTAACTAGCTCAGCACTTAACCAGTCACCACCACTGTCACCAGACACGGCCAATCAGTAAGAGGAGTTTAGTCACTTAAACAAACGGTGGCCTAACTAGTTAACTAGCTCAGCACTAAACCAGTCACGACCACCGTCACCAGACACGACCAATCAGTAAGAGGAGTTTAGTCACTTAAACAAACGGTGGCCTAACTAGTTAACTAGCTCAGTACTAAACCAGTCACCACCACCGTCACCAGACACGGCCAATCAGTAAGAGGAGTTTAGTCACTTAAACAAACGGTGGCCTAACTAGTTAACTAGCTCAGCTGTAAACCAGTCATCACCACCGTCACCATCACCCGACACGACCAATCAGTAAGAGGAGTTTAGTCACTTAAACAAACCACGGCCTAACTAGTTAACTAGCTCAGCACTAAACCAGTCACCACCACCACCGTCACCAGACACGGCCAATCAGTAAGAGGAGTTTAGTCACTTAAACAAACGGTGGACAGACTAGTTAACTAGCTCAGCACTTAACCAGTCACCACCACCGTGACCCATCACCCGACACGGCCAATCAGTAAGAGGAGTTTAGTCACTTAAACAAACGGTGGACTGACTAGTTAACTAGCTCAGCACTAAACCAATCACCACCACCACCGTCACCAGACACGGCCAATCAGAAGAGGAGTTTAGTCACTTAAACAAACGGTGACCTAACTAGTTAACTAGCTCAGCACTAAACCAGTCACGACCACCATCACCAGACACGACCAATCAGTAAGAGGAGTTTAGTCACTTAAACAAACGGTGGCCTAACTAGTTAACTAGCTCAGTACTAAACCAGTCATGACCACCGTCACCAGACACGGCCAATCAGTAAGAGGAGTTTAGTCACTTAAACAAACGGTGGCCTAACTAGTTAACTAACTCAGCACTTAACCAGTCACCACCACCACCGTCACCACCCGTCACGGCCAATCAGTAAGAGGAGTTTAGTTACTTAAACAAACGGTGGCCTAACTAGTTAACTAGCTCAGCACTAAACCAGTCACCACCACCGTCACCAGACACGGCCAATCAGTAAGAGGAGTTTAGTCACTTAAACTAACGGTGGCCTAACTAGTTAACTAGCTCAGCTCTAAACCAGTCACCACCACCGTCACCAGACACAGCCAATCAGTAAGAGGAGTTTAGTCACTTAAACAAACGGTGGCCTAACTAGTTAACTAGCTCAGCTCTAAACCAGTCACGACCACCGTCACCAGACACGGCCAATCAGTAAGAGGAGTTTAGTCACTTAAACAAACGGTGGCCTGACTAGTTAACTAGCTCAGCACTTAACCAGTCACCACCACTGTCACCAGACACGGCCAATCAGTAAGAGGAGTTTAGTCACTTAAACAAACGGTGGCCTAACTAGTTAACTAGCTCAGCACTAAACCAATCACCACCACCACCGTCACCAGACACGGCCAATCAGTAAGAGGAGTTTAGTCACTTAAACAAACGGTGGCCTAACTAGTTAACAAGCTCAGCACTTAACCAGTCATCACCACCGTCACCAGACACGGCCAATCAGTAAGAGGAGTTTAGTCACTTAAACAAACGGTGGCCTAACTAGTTAACTAGCTCAGCACTAAACCAGTCACCATCACCTTCACCAAACACGGCCAATCAGTAAGAGGAGTTTAGTCACTTAAACAAACGGTGGCCTAACTAGTTAACTAGCTCAGTACTAAACCAGTCACCACCACCATCACCCGTCACGGCCAATCAGTAAGAGGAGTTTAGTCACTTAAACAAACGGTGCCCTAACTAGTTAACTAGCTCAGCACTAAACCAGTCATCACCACCGTCACCATACACGAACAATCAGTAAGAGGAGTTTAGTCACTTAAACAAACGGTGGCCTGACTAGTTAACTAGCTCAGTACTAAACCAGTCACCCCCTCCATGTGTCCCCGCCAGGCTGGGCTGGACAAGATGGCCAAGGGACACATGCTGGCTGACGTCGTGGCCATCATCGGTGAGTTACCTCCTCCACCTCCTCCACCTCCACTGCCACCACCTCCTCCACCTCCACCACCACCACCTCCTCCATCACCACCACCTCCTCCACCACCACCACCTCCACCACTATCACCACCACCATCACCACCTCCTCCACCACCACCAAGTCCTCCACCACCACCACCTCCACCACTACCACCACCTCCACCACTATCACCACCACCATCACCACCTCCACCACCGCCACCACCACCTCCACCACCACCTCCACCACCACCTCCACCACCTCCACCACCACCACCGCCACCACCACCTCCACCACCTCCACCACCACCACCTCCACCACCGCCTCCACCACCATCACCACAACCTCCACCACCTCCTCCACCACCTCCACCACCATCACCTCTTCCCATCTCATCCTCCTCCACCTCTTCCTCTTCCACCACCACTTCCTCCACCTCATCCCCCACGTCTCCCCGTGTCTCACCGTGTCTCACCGTGTCTGTGTGTGTCTCCCACGTCTCACCGTGTCAGTGTGTGTGTGTGTCTCCCCGTGTCTCCCCGTGTCTCACCGTGTCAGTGTGTGTGTGTGTCTCACCGTGTCTCACCGTGTCTCACCGTGTCAGTGTGTGTGTGTCTCCCCACGTCTCCCCACGTCTCCCCGTGTCTCCCCGTGTCTCCCCGTGTCTCACCGTGGCAGTGTGTGTGTCTCCCCGTGTCTCCCCACGTCTCTCCGTGTCTCCCCGTGTCTCACTGTGTCAGTGTGTGTGTGTCTCCCCACGTCTCCCCATGTCTCACCGTGTCAGTGTGTGTGTGTCTCCCCGTGTCTCCCCACGTCTCTCCGTGTCTCCCCGCGTCTCCCCATGTCTCCCCATGTCTCCCCACGTCTCCCCGTGTCTCCCTGTGTCTCACCGTGTCAGTGTGTGTGTGTCTCCCCGTGTCTCCCCGTGTCTCCCCGTGTCTCCCCGTGTCAGTGTGTGTGTGTGTCTCCCCGTGTCTCCCCGTGTCTCCCCGTGTCTCACCGTGTCAGTGTGTGTGTGTGTCTCCCCGTGTCTCCCCGTGTCTCCCCGTGTCAGTGTGTGTGTGTGTCTCCCCGTGTCTCCCCGTGTCTCCCCGTGTCTCCCCGTGTCTCCCCGTGTCAGTGTGTGTGTGTGTGTCTCCCACGTCTCACCATGTCTCACCGTGTCAGTGTGTGTGTGTGTCTCCCACGTCTCACCGTGTCTCACCGTGTCTCACCGTGTCTCACCGTGTCAGTGTGTGTCTCACAGTGTGTGTGTGTGTGTCTCACAGTGTGTGTGTGTGTGTCTCACAGTGTGTGTGTGTGTCTTGTCTCACAGTGTGTGTGTGTGTCTCACAGTGTGTGTGTGTGTGTCTCACAGTGTGTGTGTGTGTCTCACCGTGTGTGTGTGTCTCACCGTGTGTGTGTGTCTCACAGTGTGTGTGTGTGTCTCACCGTGTGTGTGTGTGTCTCACAGTGTGTGTGTGTGTCTCACAGTGTGTGTGTGTGTCTCACAGTGTGTGTGTCTCACAGTGTGTGTGTGTCTCACAGTGTGTGTGTGTGTGTCTCACCGTGTGTGTGTGTCTCACAGTGTGTGTGTGTGTCTCACAGTGTGTGTGTGTCTCACAGTGTGTGTGTGTGTGTGTCTCACAGTGTGTGTCTCACAGTGTATGTGTGTGTCTCAGTGTGTGTGTGTGTCTCACAGTGTGTGTGTGTGTCTCACCGTGTGTGTGTGTGTCTCACAGTGTGTGTGTATGTGTCTCACAGTGTGTGTATGTGTCTCACAGTGTGTGTGTGTGTCTCACAGTGTGTGTGTGTGTCTCACAGTGTCAGTGTGTGTGTCTCACCGTGTGTGTGTGTGTGTCTCACCGTGTGTGTGTGTGTCTCACCGTGTGTGTGTGTCTCACCGTGTGTGTGTGTCTCACAGTGTGTGTGTGTGTCTCACCATGTGTCTGTGTCTCACAGTGTGTGTGTGTGTGTCTCACCGTGTGTGTGTGTCACAGTGTGTGTGTGTGTGTCACAGTGTGTGTGTGTCTCACAGTGTGTGTGTCTCACAGTGTGTGTGTGTGTCTCACAGTGTGTGTGTGTGTCTCCCCACGTCTCTCCGTGTCTCCCCGTGTCTCACCGTGGCAGTGTGTGTGTGTCTCCCCATGTCTCACAGTGTGTGTGTGTCTCACAGTGTGTGTGTGTGTCTCACAGTGTGTGTGTGTGTGTCTCACCGTGTGTGTGTGTCTCACCGTGTGTGTGTGTGTGTGTCTCACAGTGTGTGTGTGTGTCTCACAGTGTGTGTGTGTGTCTCACAGTGTGTGTGTGTGTCTCACCGTGTGTGTGTGTCTCACCGTGTGTGTGTGTGTGTCTCACCGTGTGTGTGTCTCACAGTGTGTGTGTGTGTCTCACAGTGTGTGTGTGTGTCTCACAGTGTGTGTGTGTGTGTCTTTCACAGTGTGTGTGTGTGTCTCACCGTGTGTGTGTGTGTCTCACCGTGTGTGTGTGTGTCTCACAGTGTGTGTGTGTCTCACAGTGTGTGTGTGTGTCTCACAGTGTGTGTGTGTCTCACAGTGTGTGTGTGTGTGTGTCTCACCGTGTGTGTGTGTGTCTCACCGTGTGTGTGTGTGTCTCACAGTGTGTGTGTGTGTCTCACAGTGTGTGTGTGTGTCTCACCGTGTGTGTGTGTGTGTCTCAGTGTCTGTGTGTGTGTCTCACAGTGTGTGTGTGTCTCACAGTGTGTGTGTGTGTCTCACAGTGTGTGTGTGTGTCTCACAGTGTGTGTGTCTCACAGTGTGTGTGTGTGTCTCACAGTGTGTGTGTGTGTCTCACAGTGTGTGTGTGTGTCTCACAGTGTGTGTGTGTGTCTCACAGTGTGTGTGTGTGTCTCACAGTGTGTGTGTGTCTCACAGTGTGTGTGTGTGTGTCTCACTGTGTGTGTGTCTCACAGTGTGTGTGTGTGTGTCTCACAGTGTGTGTGTGTGTCTCACAGTGTGTGTGTGTGTGTCTCACAGTGTGTGTGTGTGTGTCTCACAGTGTGTGTGTGTGTCTCACAGTGTGTGTGTGTGTCTCACAGTGTGTGTGTGTCTCACAGTGTGTGTGTGTGTGTCTCACAGTATGTGTGTGTGTCTCACAGTGTGTGTGTGTGTCTCACAGTGTGTGTGTGTGTCTCACAGTGTGTGTGTGTGTGTGTCTCACAGTGTGTGTGTCTCAGTGTGTGTGTCTCACCGTGTGTGTGTGTGTGTCTCACAGTGTGTGTGTGTCTCACAGTGTGTGTGTGTCTCACAGTGTGTGTGTGTCTCACAGTGTGTGTGTGTCTCACAGTGTGTGTGTGTGTGTCTCACAGTGTATGTGTGTGTGTATGTGTGTGTGGGGAGCGACAGTGTAGCGGTTAGCGCTACGCTGCGCTATGAACCTGGCGACCCGGGTTCGATTCCCGCTCACGACCAACACCAGTGACGATTATCTGAACCGGTCCCGGGCCTCCCCTAGGTCGACTCAGCCTCAAATGAGTACCTGGTGCGGTGTGTAAACATTGCCACTAGGGAGACAAAGGCGGTCGGGCGTGGTGCTGGCCACCCACCCCCTCGTGTACCGTTCCGGCCTTCATAGGTGCTCGCTAACAGCACTTGCCCCTACAGTCTGTTAAGGCTATATGGGGGATCTTTGTCTTTGTCTTTGTGTCTCACCGTGTGTGTGTGTGTGTCTCACCGTGTCAGTGTGTGTGTGTGTCTCACAGTGTGTGTGTGTGTCTCACAGTGTGTGTGTCTGTGTCTCACCGTGTGTGTGTGTGTCTCACCGTGTGTGTGTGTGTCTCACAGTGTGTGTGTGTCTCACAGTGTGTGTGTGTCTCACAGTGTGTGTGTGTGTCTCACAGTGTGTGTGTGTCTCACAGTGTGTGTGTGTGTGTCTCACAGTGTGTGTGTGTGTGTCTCACTGTGTGTGTGTGTCTCACTGTGTGTGTGTGTGTGTCTCACTGTGTGTGTGTGTGTGTGTCTCACTGTGTGTGTGTGTGTGTGTCTCACTGTGTGTGTGTGTCTCACAGTGTGTGTGTGTGTCTCACAGTGTGTGTGTGTGTCTCACAGTGTGTGTGTGTCTCACAGTGTGTGTGTGTGTCTCACAGTGTGTGTGTGTGTCTCACAGTGTGTGTGTGTGTCTCACAGTGTGTGTGTGTGTGTCTCACCGTGTGTGTGTGTGTCTCACCGTGTGTGTGTGTGTGTCTCACAGTGTGTGTGTGTGTGTGTCTCACAGTGTGTGTGTGTGTGTGTCTCACAGTGTGTGTGTGTCTCACAGTGTGTGTGTGTCTCACAGTGTGTGTGTGTGTCTCACAGTGTGTGTGTGTGTGTCTCACCGTGTGTGTGTGTGTCTCACCGTGTGTGTGTGTGTGTGTCTCACAGTGTGTGTGTGTGTGTGTCTCACAGTGTGTGTGTGTGTGTCTCACAGTGTGTGTGTCTCACAGTGTGTGTGTGTCTCACCGTGTGTGTGTGTGTGTCTCTCACAGTGTGTCTGTGTGTGTCTCACAGTGTGTGTGTGTGTCTCACAGTGTGTGTGTGTGTGTCTCACAGTGTGTGTGTGTGTCTCACAGTGTGTGTGTGTCTCACCGTGTGTGTGTGTCTCACAGTGTGTGTGTCTCACAGTGTGTGTGTCTCACAGTGTGTGTGTGTGTGTCTCACAGTGTGTGTGTGTGTCTCACAGTGTGTGTGTGTGTCTCACAGTGTGTGTGTGTGTGTCTCACAGTGTGTGTGTGTGTCTCACAGTGTGTGTGTGTGTCTCACCGTGTGTGTGTGTGTCTCACAGTGTGTGTGTGTGTCTCACAGTGTGTGTGTGTGTCTCACAGTGTGTGTGTGTCTCAGTGTGTGTGTGTGTCTCACAGTGTGTGTGTGTGTCTCACCGTGTGTGTGTGTGTCTCACAGTGTGTGTGTGTCTCACCGTGTCAGTGTGTGTGTCTCACAGTGTGTGTGTGTCTCACCGTGTGTGTGTGTGTGTCTCACCGTGTGTGTGTGTGTGTCTCACAGTGTGTGTCTCACAGTGTGTGTGTGTGTGTCTCACAGTGTGTGTGTGTGTCTCACAGTGTGTGTGTGTGTCTCACCGTGTGTGTGTGTGTCTCACCGTGTGTGTGTGTCTCACAGTGTGTGTGTGTGTCTCACAGTGTGTGTGTGTGTGTCTCACAGTGTGTGTGTGTGTCTCACAGTGTGTGTGTGTGTCTCACAGTGTGTGTGTGTGTCTCACAGTGTGTGTGTGTCTCACAGTGTGTGTGTGTCTCACCGTGTGTGTGTGTGTCTCACAGTGTGTGTGTGTGTCTCACAGTGTGTGTGTGTCTCACAGTGTGTGTGTGTCTCACAGTGTGTGTGTCTCACCGTGTGTGTGTGTGCGTGTGTGTGTCTCACAGTGTGTGTGTGTCTCACAGTGTGTGTGTGTGTCTCACAGTGTGTGTGTGTGTCTCACCGT